GCTCAACAAACCCCTTCAGCTGCCTAAGGTCTAGGACAGGACGTCGTCACTAGGCGTACCGCCCCTTTCTCCAGAAGGCTGGCTACTCCCTGCCAGGTCATCTCAGCCTTGACCTCGTCCCTCGGTAGAAGACCAGAGGGGAATGAGGAATCAGAGGAGGAGGAGACCAGAGGGGACTTTGTTACCCCAGAGACTCTGCTGCGAGTGTTCAGGGGTCAGAAACTCTCCTGCGCCAAGCTGGTGTTTGCTGCTTGAGGCACAATCTTAGGAGTGGGTGGGGGTCCCAGAACTCCAGCCTCCAGCACAGGAGGACGAAGACGGGGAGTCTAATCCTGAGGACTCTGGAGTCGTACCACCATCCATGCCCAGGCAGCCAGTGAAGCCTTTAAAGAGATGTCGTAGCTCCAAGGCCCCCAGAAGTGCCAGAACGTTCTATCACCAGTGCCAGAACTTCCTGCTAACAATCTTCTTCTGCCCCTTAGACCCTTCTGACCACAAGCACATAGATCCTCGCTGGTTCCGGTCCTAAGCAGGGCACTTATTGCCTGAGCCGCCCTGTGGTTTTGGTTTGAACTGTTGGCCGAAAAAGGCAAACAACCCAACAAGAATGATTGCTTCAATTGGATACATTAATCCTGAGCATCCACCAAAACAACCACCGCATCAGCTAGCCGGCCACATGTCCAAGGCAATCCCAATCCTTGCAACCCGCCTCAACAAAGGCATGAATACCAGGATGGGGTGGGGAACCCGTGAAGAAGGCGGTGACACCGCACAAGTATCCCAAATAAGGGACCCGTTGATGGTTTGCATAGCCCTGATGGGGTATCAGCTCCCCAATGGGAGGCATGGGACAGGACTGACCCAATCCAGGATTAGTCTTCTCATCCGTCTCCCGAAGGGTACCAATTACCCCCCTCCATCGCACTCTGAGCCCCTCCATAACCTGGGTCATACGAGGTGCCCAGGGGGATTGACGAACAGATGTCTGAGAAAGGGGAGTGCCAATGAAAAATAGTTCAAAGGCAACTCCCCTATCCAGGAAGGTGGGATGACCAACAGAATGCACTAAAACAAGTTTCAAGCCAAGCACTGCCCGGTTCACAAGCTGCGTTCTAAACTGCATAATGGTAAGGGTCAGCTGGGCTTCGATTGGATGCATACCACTCTGCACAGGGTTATCAACACTGGAGCCCCCTCACAGAGTAACAAGTATGGGCACTTTGCATGGCCTGGTGAAGCAAAGGTAACAAATCCTGTTCCGACAATGCCTGAGGAAGGTGTGGGAATATCGGCGTAGGGCGCCCCCATCCAGAGGGTTCCCCCTTCATAAGTGGACGCTCTCTTTCCCACTGATGTGAGTTGTCCCCCCTGATCCTCAAATTGAGGATGGGACACATCTGACCCGAATCCTGGCGGAGAAGGGACAGGCAGCACAGCCCGTCTCCCTCCCACCGAACTCTTACCCCCCATATTTTATTGTTTGAAAAATTCCAAAACTAAGTAGCTCAAGTGCAAATTCAGGCTATCAAAAAAGCTGCTCAAAGTTTCAGGATGTTGTGCTATATAGTTTGGGCGTTTAGAGCTTGCAACACACTGTTGTAATAGAAAAGGTGGTAGTATGTTTATGCAGCAGATTTAGGATGCTTGACGTTCTAAACATTCTACTTGTTGATTACAAAGATAACTGTTGCAGTTATTGATATACAAATTTGAAGTCTAACAAAAGATATTATAGAGATTGTGGAATTTAACATGAAGCTGACTAAGCTGCCAATACACTCTGGGATTTCCGGCCAATCTTCTGCAATATAGTCCACAGCTGATGCAGCCAACTGCAACTCTGAAATGACTAGTCCTTCAACGACATGCACATCTGATCTGGTACAGGAGATAATAATCCAACTACTGTGAACATTGTTATTGATCATCAGTGGCATACTTAGTACAAGCCCACTTCATCTGCTTGTGCAGATTTCTTGGATGACCCTTGATTCACAGCAGTGTGTACTAACTGAACCCATTTTCTGAATGCCCCTGGTTCCATAGATTGTCAGCATCATCAATTATTATCCCATAATCCAAATGACATCAGTGAATTTGTAAACCAAACCTTTTATGAGACGTTAATCATGTAAGGTAAGAACAACAGTCAACAATCACAATGTATATGAAACATCTAAAATTCAGTCTGGCGTGATACTAAAATACCCCATTAAAATTGAATTGACACATAAGAAGATAGTGATATGACATTAAAATAAGGAAGCCACAGATGCTAAATAGTCAATCAACTGTTGCTGAAACTTCAATGACTGATCATAATGCAATGTTGCCATCAGCATTTGTGAGCTATATCACGTGTGGGGGGGGGGTTGCTGTTGCTATTGATGATATATTGGCTGATAGCATACAGATGAGCCCTTCAGATAACAGTCCTAACATTCTCCAAAAGGTATTTTGATTCTGTTCATGAAAGTGGTCACTGTGGCGACAGAGAGTGATAGTGATCAGTGAGCTATCGGTGGCCAAGATGAAGTTACACTGCACCTTCAGGACATTCATTCAGTGGCATTATGCTTGGTTCATTGGGTGTAAAAAGTCGGAGTTTTTAATGTAGTTCTATGTAGGCTCCTACTTGTGAAACTAGCACAGGTAGGGTTAGTGCTATTGTCATGAGTATAAATGTTATAAAATGTTTATTCCCACACTATGTATATATGCTTCGAGTTTGATACTCCGTTGACAATGTTATGATTGAATAAACATAAAGGTGAAATATTTGGCAAGATGAACAAGTCTTTTTGATGATCAGCGTGATTGATGGATGTGATCAATTCCACACTGAGTACAAAAAGAGTACATACTACATCAATATCATCAGTGTTAAAGTATGAATGGAGAGATGTCAATACTTGAATGTGAATGAAATCAGACAAGCCATGCCTGAGAAACGGTTGATGACATATTCAATTGTTATTTTTTAATGTTCTTTAAAACAAAAATGATCGCTAGTCAGTCGATGTTCAACCAAATTAAAAGCAAGTCGACGAGCATCCCATCATAACTTGTATTTGTATCAACTACGAACAAGATCAGTTTAGGCATGTCCGAAAAATTACAATACACACATGAATGGACGTAAACCAAAACTAGTTATTGTTTCTGGCTTCATTGCATAGAGACTAATTATGATAGCATTATTTTGCAGCTTATTGATTATGTGTATTGTCATGAATAAATAACTTGGATGTCAAGATGTGGAATTGAGTAGAAATCTTATTGTATAGTGAACCACTTTAAAATACTTGGAAATACTTCGGGCGACGTTCGACCTAGAATTAATATTGTTAGCGGTTTAATACCGAAGACTAGCATAATTGAATACAGCATAAACTGTATTACTAATGACCGATCGAGTATTTGCCCATACAAATTGTGTAAACTTTTGAAAATCCCCCACTAGTCATTTGTATAGACTAAGTTTGGTAACATGTGCCTTCAATAAGAAACGACATGTGTTATTGAAGCCCACTGACATTGTGACTAGTGATACAAAGTTTACGTTCGGTTATTTAACTAAGGTTGTAACCAAAGTAATACATATTGGTTATTAATGTTTTAAAAATATTTGTGTTCTCCTCATACATGTTAAACTAATGTTGATGATGTATTTCCAATGAGTGCCGAGCAACGGCTGAAAAAGGTGTTACCGCTCAATGCAAGATCAAGTGTGATGACCTGTTGCTATGACAATAAATAATTAGACGGAAGCATGATTTGAATCTGGTTAAAAAACAATTAACAAATGAACAAAATTGACACGCAAATTAAAAGCATTTCGAATAAAACGAAATAAGTTAAATACGTTAAGTCACATAGTCTTCAGTTGACTTGAGTTTGTTGGAGAACGTTGCGGTCTTTATGGTTTACATTAATTAAAAGGTTGGATATCGCTGTCTACCTGGAGAATAGTCTGAATCTTTACAACCCAACTACATCTATACACATACTGTATATGCAGGCTTCTATCGAAGAGTTATGTGCCCCTCCCCGAATATATATAATTTATCAGCTGGAGATCTTGTTTAACTTTGCATGATGTCACGTTTCTCTTGTATATTTTCTAGTGGAACACTAATCCTTGTCGATGATAACAATGAGGAAGATCATTGGTGTAATTGTGTTCGTTTATTGCTCACTGCATGAGTGGTTGGCGGTCAGGTAGAATTGTTTGGCCATTAGTGAATTGTTTGATTACACTTTTCTAAGTGAGATGAATAGTAGATAAGGCTGGAACTGCTGTGATGGCATTGCCATAAGAGCATGGTGTAGAACTTTTATTTTGTAATTCATAAATAGCTTTTCATTGCAACTGAATTCTTATTATTTCCATTATTGGTGCAAATAAGATCAACGGTAGTGTGGAGCGTCGGATCTTGAGTGCGAGTATAATTTGACATTTCTTTGGAGGTCTGCTGTAATATTAGGGCACCTGGTCATGCTGTATGCGAGGCACAATGAGTTTACCATGCTGAGAGCATATAAATGGCAATTTGAAACATAGTTTAGCGGGTTCATCGATGAGAGGTCAAGTTTATGTGAATAGCTGTTAGTAATCAATACAACACTGTTGCACAATCAGGAGTTAAGTTGTAGAACTAATAAAGAGCTCATTGCATTTAACAGGAGCAATGGGGCGCTGGGTTAACTTATTGGTCGGACTTGTACCTTGAATGAGGCGTGAGTGATGTAAGAATAGCAGGCGAGCTTTCACAGTCATGTCTAACTTTTAGAAAATATTTGAATCACAGATCTATTTCAAACTCATTTTGCTCATGCAAGTACACATGAATTGATTATTAAAAAAAGATTAATATCTTAATTAACGCAAGTACGGTATAGTTAAATTTATGATTTGTTTTGATTTTCTGAATATATTGTTAAATGCGTATGTAATTATAAAGGGCGATTTTGACTATAGTACATTGTTAATTGTTTCACATGTCGGTCGTATCAACAATAATTTTAATAAAAGCTACATCATCCTTTACGTATTGCCGTCCTGGTGTGTCTATCGTGTTTAGTGGCATAAATAGTGGACATCCAGAAGCGATATTCATGTGTTCTTTAGGACGTTTAAATGAAGTGGAAGAAGGATCGGGTCGAAATGCATCAATCACGTGTTCCCGATTAGATTGATCCAACCACATCAAAGTGACTTTCTGTCTAAATGGCCATTTTAAGATTGCGTCATACTCTCCTTTCATCACTACAAAGAACAGAGACACGTGATTCCCCTTCCCCATACCGTCTCCATTTAAATAAATCCTAGCGCATAATTTGTAACCATGACGATCAGTGAAGAAATACGGCGAGTATATGGAAAGTGCTCGGCCGGAAATAGCGTCACGTCTCTTTCTAGCGAAATCGCTAATCTTCCAAAGTAAAATCCCGTTGTATGACGTCATCTCAAGGGAGTGGATTCTCAAATCTTGCTCTGCCAATGCTACGTCTTTCAACGAAATACTGCGGTCCTGAGCCTTGCACTGGCGCTCCAGTAATTGTATCATTTCATTCAACTGTTCCCCATTTTCTTGGAGTTTTTTTGTAGTCTCGGAATTGCTGTCGACGTTTTCATTCAACATCGCCACAATCTCTTGTGACGTGCTAACCTTTCTGTCTATTACAACTAATTTGTGATTTAACTGTCGTACCTCGTTGTTTATTTTCTCGGCTTGATCAGTATCTATGTTGACGTCAGTGTGGTTCTTTTTCTCGGCATCAATGTGACGCTGAAGGTCAGCTTCAACTTTATGCAGACGTGTCTCTATCGTTTGGATATCAGCCGTAGAATGTTCGACAGACGTGCACAGTTGACGTGTTTGCACATTGCGTTCTTCTAAGGAGGCCATCGCATTCCCTAACTCGATGGTTTTTGAAAGTATCAGGTCAGTGTGATGTTGAATTTCGTAAACGTTGTTATCTGCCTCTTTACCCATTTCCACCTGTGTACAAATCATGTTGTGATATTGTCAGATTTGCGCTGTATTGATACATCTTAAAATAAAATGCTCTCTAAAGTGAACAGTTTCGTATTTAGTCAACTGTTATATTGCACGAAAAGTTTCGTGATTGAATAGTAATTTAATGAATTAAAAACGATTTGAGTATTACAAGAATACGTTGTGAAAGTGTATCTAACATCAGGCTGAATACATAAATTAGATGAACTGAATTATTCAAGCTAGACAAAACTTTACAAACCAGAGTACTACATCCAATTGTGTGAAATGTACACGGTTGCCTTTTGCTGGAACAGTCACCTCCTTCTATAGCAGTATGTTCGAGTAGCTGAAAAATAGACAATGTTAAAAGTAAACAACATTTGTCCACACATATGATAAAACAAAAATTGTATCGTTTCGATATCCCCGCTTAGAATTGGGTCAGTGACATATCGTTTGCCTCGATGACGTGTGAAAACACGTGAATTGCAGTAGTAAGCTTAAGTTTGAAACTAACCTTTTCTCTCAGCAGTTCGATGTTACAATATTTACATTGCACTTTTATTTTGGGACAACTTTGATAATGAACCTAAATAGACAATAACACACTTTAAATATATAAACTTAAAAGATGTTAAAAGTCATTAAGACGTGCGTCATCGATTAAGCTAAATAACGGTCAAATGCGGTAGCCTAGCTTAATTGTGTTGTAGGGATAATTACACACACGTAGAGATGTTTTCTAATGAATACAGGAAAACGATCATTTACATTACAACAGCAACACAATATTCAAACTCGCACAAGCAGCGTAGCGCCTCACAACCATAGATGAAGCACTAAGCCATATTTAGGTTATTAGGTGTTAATAGCGTAGTGCGTGGCCGCGGCCAGACAACGCAACGACGTACCCGTGTACCGCTCACTCGATCAGGCGTTCTACGCAGTGCTACTCCATACCAAACACAAGTCACTCGTTCATCCGCAAAGCAGCGAATTTAATCTACATTTAATATTGGATTTATCAAAACTAGTTTCTTTCTCATTTTAATTTGTCATTGTGATTGCCCAGGTGAAAACAAATTTGAAGAATGACGTTTTAAAATTATGCAGATTCAGGGGCCAATGACTGTTAAACTGTTCCGTTCACTGTGGACCTTCTACAAGTTCTCTACAAATTCATCGATATTTACAACGCTACGAAATAATAAAAATAACGAACTCCCACCAAACCATAGTGGGCTAAAGCACACTTTGTGCTACATATATGTGCTAGGCGTCAGTTGAGCATATATATGGAGCACAAAGTGTGCTTGAGTCCATTAATAGTTACCTCCAATTCTTGGTATACAAGCTCAGTGTTACAGTATTTGCATGTAATGATCCTCATATGACATTCGTTCTCAGAATGCATCTTTAATTTGCATCGGAGAATATTCTGAAGACATCCTTGTCGGGCACAAATTACTACCATGTATTCGCAGATATCCTCATGTTGCTACAAAAGACATGTCAGTAATTAATTTCGCTTTTCGAGTTCTCTATTGAATAATACAGCATTGATACAAGGTTTCGGAATGGGCATAATGTTTTCGTGAATAGCATTTTTTAGTCGGATATGTGAGAGTATCGGGCAAATTGTATTATATGTGAGTGATATTTTGCAGTTATCACCATGATATTCATTCTTACCTGGTATTCAATAAATAATCCCGTCCAATCACATCCAGTGTTCGTACACACAACTGGTATTCTTTTCATTTCACGAAAAATCGCTCGGTCCGGATATATCTGAGTACACATATTATAATTATACACAGCGGGTCTCACGTGAGTCCCCACAATTAATAGCATATAAAAAAGTATATTCATTTTGATAGTTTAATTGTTTCCAGAATACGTGCTTTTAATAGTAAGGAATTTGGTGTATGTTGAATTTCAATATGGTGTTTTACTTGCTGACCGTCGATGTGTAATGTGACTAAAGCATAAAGAACACAAATGACTGAATAGATAACTCAAAGACTATGTTAGTCTTACCTTATCAGTTGTCAATACTATGTCACTAGAATCGGGATCATCAACGACGCATATTGGGCAGCAATATTCCTTGCCATCACTGCAGCCAAGAGAAACATATGTTTTAACCCCGTTGACGGCAACTGGGACGAACCCTATCTGTTTAATTTACGCTATATAGTTGATAAAATAATATATGGTTCGCTTGTATGAAGCACGTGCTGTAGCCACTCTCACCTAACTTGTCCTTCGATACATCTTCTGCAAAATCGATGCCCACAGTAACTCTGGAACGGGTCCCTTAGCACGTGGTCGCAAAAGGTACAAATACATTTTTGGGAAATGTGCTCGTCTTTCAAAATAGATCTTGAATAACCGCACTCCACTGTTTTTAATGTGCTCGAAGCCATCGTCGAATTTTCCGCCTTTGATCAATTGCCTGTGCAGTGTATACCTACGAATAAAGGAAACCATTAACTTGTAGTTTTAGGAAGGTTATAAAACATGTTGTACATATTCAAGTAAAACCGATTTAAAAGATCGTAAGGGAATAAATGTTTATGTCCACGTTTTTAAGGTCACTCGTCTTTCATCTTGGATAGTTAAACAAAAATTGTGTTGACGTCATCACGCAATCGTCCATGTTGAATTATATATTTACACAATGCAAAGTTAAAGTTTAAGTTACCCACTGCAATCACGTCTGATACGTAGTTGATAAGCGATGGATCTAACAGGTTCTGAAGATTCAAAGGGTCATTCAACTGTACTAACGTGAGCACATAGCAAAGTCAATACAGTGAGCACTTTGCATACCGTATGCCGGCAGATTCAGCGGGACAGTGTGCACTTCCCGGCAGCTATGAGAGCGTCTAAGGCGTGTACTTATGTACAATTTAAAAGTTCACGCGTTATATCGTTTTGTTAATAACAATAATACGATTAACGTAAATACACATATTCCATGTTAAAATTGTTCTTAAGGTAATTTATTTATTTATATATTTAATTTATTTAATTATAATAGCTTCTCATAAACCACACACATTCACTGAGAGTTACCCGAATAAGAGTAAAATATATTATGACCCACAATTCCTCCCAAGATCACAGATTATGTTATAAATGCATTCATCGACAATAGTATGCCAATTAGGGTGTGGTCTTAAAACAATACGCCAGTACTTGTATATTGGGACTGGTAATGGGAAATCGTCGCTATTTGTAGCTATTCAAAATGACTAGAAATTCTGAGCGGTGCACGTGTTTATTCGTTTTAGGCGCGAACAAACAAAATTTTCATAAACTTGAGGTTGACGAATCGTTACCTTCTATGATCATGAGATTTTGGACAAACTACTAATAATAGCTAATCAATCATTCTGAGGTATTGTGAGTGGGCCTTATCCCATGGTCAGTTTGTATATCGTTGTACCTATAGTAACATAGGACACGTGACATACATCAAGCGCTATTTCTGTCGCTTGTAGGGGGTAGTGGTGGTGACTACCCAGTAAAACATGTGATTACAATACGTCACTCTAGGCGTGTCAATCGATTACAGCATGCATGCAAGTCCGTGATGGCACAGAATTCTACTCTGAATAATTACATAGCGCGTTTTGAATTTCAATTCCAACTTTTGCATTGAATAAAACAAAATTATAAATATTAATAACTGTCAAATCTCAGATAACTATTGTCTTAGATGAAGCACGCAGTACGCACAAATATTGATGGTTGAATTTTAAGTAGAAATTGGAGCTATAGGTAAAACACTGCAACTACCAAAATATAACAAGGTAAAACACATTGTACACATAGAACCAAAAGTGCCTACATTTGTACAAAATGAAAAATAGTGATTTGTCTAGGTTAAAAAACCAGGCATGAAGCATCTATACTATAAAGTCGGCTATGATACAATAGTATTAACAATATTAGAAGAGTCAACACAGCTGACTATTCACTTCAAATTTATCAGTCCGCCATCTCAAAACCAATTCCGCGAATCTAAGGTTTAGTTATTCTGATATTAGTTTGACATGCAAAAATCATGCTGTTACTTGAAAAAAAAAAAGTTTTCAAAATAGTAAGAATGATATTCGTGGCTACCTACGTCACGCGTCTTGATCAACTTTCTATTGAGATGTGAAACCTATATATACATACGTTGGTCGTCGCCTGAACACAGAAATACTGTGTAGGAAACACACACTGTCTACTGTAATACTAGAATCAAAACCCGCATATTTCGTAATTACATATTTTTTTACTGACGTCAACAGGTGTGTAAATAACCGGAAATACTTCATCCGCTCCTGACAGATTGACATCTAGAAACGTATATGTTTGCTCATCGCATCGTTGCTTCGTGTGAATCTCAACCCGTAATTTATAATTGTTGATGGTGCATTATGGGCGAGAACGTACAGTTCTAATATTGCATAACAATGTAGACCAAGTCGGAATAAGATTTATCAACAACTAAAAATAATATTTGTTTAATGAAATATTAAAATTACGCACGTTCAGTGACTGTTATTTTACGAACTAAAACAACCAATATAGAGTGGTGTCCGATCGGGACAAGTTTGGGCATATACCGCATGATATGATGACGTTTTTGCGGACACCCGCTAGTGAGCGCGTTATTTTATACCATGGGGATTCATTACACTGTATGGGTACGTAATATACACCTTCATATTACCCGAGCGTCAACGACTGTTTTAGATGATGATGTTTGTCCTTGAGATATAAAAGATATCTTCAAATCTTGATTTTATGAGATCACTAACCTACCATATATTTCGAATGTAACATCACTTAAAATAGCTACAAGATTATATTGTTGCAGTGTTTTGTAAGCAGTGCATTAAAACCTTAATGTGACTGAAGGATATATGACCAATAAAAATCATTTTAGTGGATTTATTTATTATTTTAGTGGATTTATTTATTATTTTAGTGGATTTATTATTTATGGGATCAGACATGAAGTACTGAAGCAAAACAGTTTGTTTTTTGCGTCTGATTTTATAGTTTCATCACTTGCTTTCGTAAAGGAATAGCTGTCAATACAATAGAATTACGTTTGAATTATCAAAAATAGTAATGTTTAGGAAAACAAAAATGAATAACCATGGCAGCCTATAAAAATAGAATGACCTCACCTCAGTGACTAAGTAAAAAAGAATGACCTTTTGTACTGTTGACATTAAGGTAGGCCGCACCCGGATTTTAGCGGCCCACCCCGGATTTAATAATTGAGTCGTCTCTTATAATGTTTGAGTGTTTGCTACAATGTACATACACAAAATAACCTGAAATAGCTTATAACATCAATGTCGTACTGATTCCTCATCGTGACATACATTATTACCTGGTTCTCGCTATGTAAAAATAGAGTTTCCCAATATGCAGCGGACATACAGTTCTGTTCTGTATTACTAACTGTGATCACAATTTACAATTTCGGAGTTTTGAAGGAGTTGAAACATGAATGAAGGTTGGTGGTGGTAATTTTGAAGGTCATGGAAAAGATCATCCATCGTAAAGTTGAATTTAATACTTACATTTTGCCTTCAACAGCTTTGGATTTCCATTATAGGGTTAGCACACGGTGTCGTGGTAGTGGAGTCTGTTCTGTATACCGGTGTTGAATGGTTACTGACCAAGACACACGTGATTGGGTCGGGTGATCAAACCGGGGAATTCCGATTACTCATATACATTTATAACTTCAAGAACAATAATGCATAAGGAATTTAAAAAAAAAAATATTTTAAATAGTTAGTAGTAGTTAAATAGTTTATTAGTTAAATATTTTATCAACACCCACAAATGCATCACCCCGTTATTAGCATGTCAAAAATCATAATTTTCATGGAACTAATTGGGTGTGGTACAGCATAATTTTCATCCATCATTGAAGATTATGTTTTAGAAAGATTGTCGGAAATTGTATGCAGCGATTACATATTTTGATTAAATCATTGTGAAACATGCCACCTGTACGGCAACCGAGGTGGCTCACAAATTAGCATTTTATAAAATAATTTTTACAATTCATTTACATTTTGAAGATTCATTTTTTTTATATAATTCATTTTTAATAACCATTTTCGGTTCTGAAATCGGTTTTAAAAACCCATTTTTGTTACTGAGATCTGATTTTATTTTTAAAAGTAATTATTTAAACTCATTTTTGATTTTAAAATTCATTTTCATTTTTAAAATCAGATTTCATTTTTAAAATCCATTTTTGTTTTCAAAATTCATTTTTAAAATCCATTTTTGTTTTTAAAATTCATTTTCATTTTCAAAATTCATTTTCATTTTCAAAATTCATTCTCATTTTTAAAATCCGATTTCATTTTTAAAATCCATTTTTGTTTTAAAAATTCGTTTTCATTTTCAAAATTCATTTTCATTTTTAAAATCCGATTTCATTTTTAAAATCCATTTTTGTTTTTAAAATTCATTTTCATTTTCAAAATTCATTTTCATTTTCAAAATTCATTCTCATTTTTAAAATCCGATTTCATTTTTAAAATCCATTTTTGTTTTAAAAATTTGTTTTCATTTTCAAAATTCATTTTCATTTTTAAAATCCATTTTTGTTTTTAAAATCCATTTTTGTTTTCAAAATGCATTTTCGTTTTTAAAATCCACTTTCGTTTTTCTTGACCTTTGAACTCTAGGTATATATGTATTTTTCACTTTGAAGCAAAATTTCTATCATAATTTGCTGAAAAGTCACTGTTATTTCCTGCCTATCGCATTAACTTTAACATAATAATTGTTTTTAATGACATTCTCATTTCGATACGATATTCGATTTGTGTTTTCAATATCATTTAAACTTTCAATTTCAAAATCCATTTTCATTTTCACTTTTTGACCTGTGACCTCGCCCTCTGACCTCATACCACGTGACCAGATTTCGTTACTCGGCATTGATCCTGGCACTGATTTCCGTCATTGAAGTTTTTATGGTAAGGCTACTTTGCGTCACTTTTCTCCAGTCTAGAACTTATTTAGCCGTTGTTCCGCGGCGTTTCGGGGTTCATAGAGGGTTCTTGGCTTAATCTGTCTGCTTACAACGTGCCTGCAGCGTCGAGTGCATTTGTGGTCCGGCCAGTACACCGACGGCGCTGCCTTGTACACCCTACTCGGTAGCACGCAGCAGAACCACGGCTATAACTTGTTCGAATCATAATTATATCTCTCATTTTAACTCCATTGACCAACTAACATGGCTGACCGCGCTCGAGGAAATGGACAATTGTGCTCTGAATGAATGTATGAATGTATGTTGTCGTATGTAGTTACCGTCAAATTATTTTCATCAACTCGATCTGGGTTCAGTGTCTTTACATAGCCCAAACGCAGCTGTTATACTTTA